GCAGTGGACTACAGTCCTGCAAGTGGTGCCACTGTTACTCACGTGCTCCAAACCAGGCACATGGTTTGGGGTTATCCCAGGAGGACTTCTGGAGTGATACAACTCCTCCCTCTTTCCACAATGGAAGGGCAATAACCTGAGATGCTCAGGGTGCAGTGCACCACAAGGTCACAGCCAGGACAGTCCTGCCAGCCCCACCTGCCAGAGGGTTGTTCCCTGCTCTGTTTGCCAGGAACCTGCCTTCATTTCCCTGCACAGCTGGAAACTGTTCAGGGCTGGATGGAATTAGCACATGGGCACAGAGCTACCATATGTTCAGGTTTCCCTAGACTCAACCTGTCTTTCTGCCTGGAAATTGAATGCAGATGGGATTTGAGGTCTCTGCGGCACTGTCTGTGGGTCCCTGGACAAATGATCACAGTGCATGAAGGGAACAGCGCACGTACAGTTATCTGGGAAAACCCAGACAGAAATATGGGAATCAGGCGTGTTCAACCACACCACTTTATCCTTCTTGAGAAGGGGGAGAGCAATAAACAGTAGAGAGATGCTGGTAAAACCTTGCGTTTTGTCAAAGTAACACAGCCTTGGGAGACCTTCTTCCACCACTCAAGCCTCACCTTCAGACACTGGGGATGTGCATGGACAATACTTGAATCCTGGCACAACATAATCTAGCAATTACTGATAATTTTAGCCTCAACATGTGTAGTAATGCAGCATGCTAGCTCTAGGTTTCCACTCCATGCCTCTGCTGACTGGAGCAGTAGAACAGTCTGAGTCAGCCAAGGGGCAGAAAAACATCACTTTCAGCAACACTACACGATCAAGGGGACCCTTGAGGGGTGGAAAAGGTCAAAAATTCCCCTATCCCAGCCCTGGCTCTCACTGCAACTGTGGCAAATTAACTCCTCTGTCCTCGTCTGTAAAGTGGAGATACTACTCACCTACTTCACTTCACAGCAGAGCACAGAACTAATTGTCAGGGACAATTAAAGACTCGGCCCCAGAACTTAATACATCAAGAAATAAAATACCAAATGAAGTAAGACTCCACAAGTGTCACTGAACTTTGACATATGGAGCTTCCAGCCTACTGAGGTTGTAACAGCAGCAGCGTTTATTCTTACATCTAAACATTCCCTATAGGTAACAGCTTGTGGTACCCAACAAGAGTGAATCTGTATGGTTCAGGAGAATGAAAGCCTGGCCTTTCTTGTCTGTCTGAGCAGCACCTACTAAGTTGATGGTTCCTAAGAAATAAATAATGTGCCACTGTAAAGTACATTTGTATTCATACAAGCCTCATTCTTCCAAGCGGTAATCAAGAGTATTATGTTACCTATGGTTGAAATGATTAGTGATGTTTCCAAAGATTAATTTACATGTTCTTTTGTTTAATGCATATGAACTGATTTAATGGCTGCTTATGAACTGAGCTAACAGTCATTTTGAGAAACAGATGTCCAATGCAGTTTTAAGCATTAAGAGTGCTTTTATTCATATCCTTAGGAGAAAAAGGGCTACACAGTCTACAGTAATAACACTAATGAATCAAAGTACTACAGCTGCCCAACAGGGTTTTGACAGAAACCAGCTTTTTCTCAAAGGAACTTTTTTTTTTAAAAGGACTCCAGGACAGTGAACAACGGGTAATATGCATGCTTAACATGTAAGTATGTGCTTTGCTGGAGCCAGAACACTGAATCAAACCCTATCTACAACCAGATAATGTGAGGCTTTTGCATAAGTGCTGAAAACTGTATCTACACAAAGACAGGGAAATCTGTATGGAATCTGGATCCTCCACATTTTATACAAATAGATATTTGAAAGTTTGAGTGTTTCTGACACTATTTTGTCATACTGAATGCAGAACAGGTTGTCTGCTTTAAACCCTGATAGATTATTGTGTGTGGGTGGCAGGGTTAGGATAAAAGAAAGGAAAAAAGCTACTAGCAAAGCAGTTGGTGGCTTCAAATCTATCATAAATAAACAGCACATTCCTCTTCTTCACAAAGTCATTAGAGTCCGTGTCAGGCTTTAACATCCTAACATCAGCTGGGTGCAAATTTGATGGCCTGGGGTTCTGCAGTGCTCCCTATGGAAAGTAGATTTGGGGCATTTGCCATGCCCCAACGGAGCGTTTCTGTCAAGTTCCTGAGGAGCCTCTAATGCACCAGTTATTCACAGGACCCTTGCAATGAACCACGGGTTTGATATTTTATGGTCTGGTGTGTATAGTGCAGGATATTATTACACACAAGCCTGCTTCCCATAAGCCAGCACCTTGTAATCATTAATGTATTTATCCTTGTGGTGCCTCAAGAAGATGACACTGTTGTTAGTCCCATTTTATAGATTCAGAACTGAAGCTCAATAGCTAAATTACTTGCCTTTGATTTACAGTGAAGGACAGACCTGAGTCCCATCCCTACCAGGCCTAAGCAAGGATTGCACCAGGACCAGATCTATGCGCAGAGCTGTCCTTCATCTCAGGTGCTTCTAAGTCTTATGAAATTACTGTATCTACACTGGGGTTTGTGCCTTTTGTGTCTCAGCCTTTTCCAGTGCAGGTATCTGTGGGGAACATGGATGCAGATTTATTACTACATGCAACTGATGAATTCCTAAGTTACATCCCTCTGCAGCAGCTGGAGACGAGAGTCTCCAGATCATGCTCATGTTCTTAACAGCACGTTGAACAACTTTGTTCAAACATGTAAGACATGCTGAGACAGTGTATTAAGAAAGGCTGAGACCTAGTAAGATCTTCCTCTTCTGCTTCATCTATACCACACTGTGCTGGAAAATATGTTGACTGATAAGTTTTGCCCACAGTAAGGGTAATCATCAGGTCTGATTTAAGCACTAGTTAGTTAGAGGTTGTAAGTAAACGCTGCGTTCCAGCACAAAACCACCCCTCTCAGTATGGTCAATGCATTGAACAAGTCTCGTTGTATCCGCTACATGAATTGCAGAAAAAAAGCCACTGCACAAGTAGAATAAGACCTTTTCCAAACTCCTAGTAGTCAGTAAGACAGAGGAAGAAAGTATTAGGACACACTGCTGTTTTAAGTTGAGGAGATCTCCTCTATTCTTCCGATACTAACTATCATCAGAGTAACCACTGACAAGACACACAGCTGATAGCTCTTTCCTTAACTGAATTGCTGTTATGGAGAAACAGGCTAGCAATCAGTTTCCATAGTGGTAACCACAGACCTCAGAAATGTATTGATCTTCCAGGAGGCAAATGCTGGGAGCCACCATTCCTACCACTCAGGCTTCAGGTAGGGTGAGTGCACAGCTGCTACAGGTAAGAGAGATTTGCAAAGAGCACTGTCACAGATATGAGGCTCTGCATTTGACCTGCCTTCCTCTCTGTCTCAGAACAGTTAAAAACCCAGGTAAATATTTGTGTGCTTCATCTTAGACCTCTCCTAACCTTTCACCACTCTGTCTTGTGTGTATCTGTTTATCTTACCCTGAATAACGTAAAGCTTTCTTATCTAAGCAACAACTGCCTCCCAGCATTAAGGCTTACACATCAGTTGCCTCCCTGACCTGATGCACACCCTAAATGTTTCTGGTTGTCCCCAAGGACTCTGAACTCAGAGCTTTTACTGGGCATGCAGATTCATGCAGGAGCCCAGCATCTGTGAGAAATCCTGCTCAGCACTTTTGAGCCTTCCAAGGCTGGGTGTGATTCGTGCAAATCAGATGGTAAAATTTAAATTTTTCAGTGGGGCCAACAGGACCAACCAATGGTCCAGTGGGACCAACCTTCAGGAAGGGAAGTACTACTCAAAATCTGAGTCAGGTCAGAATCTGGCTCCATATAATTACTATATAGCAAAAGTAAGATTATTCCTAATGCAATAATAAAGCCACTTGAGGTGTTGGTTTGGGTTTTTTTTATAAGCACAAATCTCTCATATTACTTATTAGTACACAGCATCAGCAATTGACATACTACTTCCCCCAAAGGATTAGGCAACTCAGAAACATTCATACATAAGGCAAACCAGAAGTCACACACAAAACGGAACAAGAAAGAACATCAGGGTCCTAACCAAGTATAAGGAATATTTTTCTCATGAAATGCTTGAATCAAGAAACAAACAGGAATTGAAACAGAGCAGGATGCTGTCCCTGCCTGGCACTACAGGAAAGAGCTGATTTCATGATGATCTTTACTTTTGGAACAAGAAAGCACAAATGTTTATCAGAGACTAGGAAACCAAAGGAAATACCAAGATGAAAGAGTGCAGCAAAGATGCATGCTCTTCTGTATCATTTAGATGAAAACATCAAAATTTATGGGAAGACATTTAACTAGCAACTGAAATAAGCCTAAGAGGGGAAGGGGAGAAACCCAAAGAGATGGAAGTGCAGATACTGCAGATTGCTTGAAGCCACAGATGATTTCCTATAGATTCACTGAAGTCAAAAGTTACAAATGAGGAGCGATTTACAGGCCCACAGGTCCCACCTAAATCACCTGTTAGCCTACAGACTGTTAGAGACTAGGGTGATATTGGCATGTAATCACTGCCAGTACCTGCCTGCTTAAGCAAGGCAAGATCAAAGTAAAAACCTCAACATTTTAACAAAAAGGCTTGCAATTATGAGCTTGAAAACAAAATGCTCCGGCAAAAATATCTGCAAACACTCATCTATGCCACCTAGCTCTTTGGATACCTAACACTGTTCACCACAATACATTTCATAGGGCTCAGTCCAGTCTGATTTCAAACACTGTATACCATGAACAGCAAGTTCTACAGAACACAGAGCCACTCTGCATGAACAAGGATTGTCCAAAACCCCTGTCAAAACCTGCCCTCTTCTCCCTCTATCCTTGCACTTCGTGAGTATTTGCTGCTAGCGTTCCTCTCCCCTTGCCAAGTCTCTTCCCACCCAGCGTTAACTTTGTTTTCCACTCTGAGCTCTTCAGCCTCCCTCCTCCCAGCATTTGAGAGTGCAGTGAAACTTACGGTGCTCGGTCATGGGTCAACCCGTTCTGTCTTTGTGCATTTATCGGAGGTAGAACAGGTTTGCTGTTAATCTCAAGCCCTCTCCGCAGAGTCTCCCTGATTTGCTCTGTATCTGCAAAGATAATTTTTTAAAATGTGGTTTAGAGTCCCCAGAAACGTTACAGACACAAAGAGATGTCAGCTTTTTTTTTTTTTTTTAAAGGCCCATTTATTTCTATGGTGTGTTTCATCTAAACTCTTCCCCTTCAGAAAGAAATGAATGTGCTAAGGCTGAATTCTTAGCAGCTCTTCCTGCACCTTAGGAGTTAATTCACTTTATAAGGTGAGCTTGAATTCTCTTGGTTTGGGCTGTGATGTTATGTCAGGCAAGGAGGGCTGGAACCTTTGGTACTGAGTCCTCCTGATGAGAAAATTCTGAGTAGCTTTGTATCCTTTCATAAATGAGGTGTTTAGTTTTCTGCAGCTCTCGGAGAACCTCCTGACACTTTCAGCCTTTGTGCTGGAAGTCACTTTCCCATTAAGCATAACAGGAATTTGTTCCTTTACCAATCAAGTGCAAGGAAGTTCCTGAGTTTTTGCAATTGGCTTTGCAAATCTGTTGATTAATTTACAACAAGATTCACAAAAGAAAGGAATTTTATGCTGGGCAAACTTTAGCTTCAAGCTCACATTTGAAAATAAACTGCAAATGATGCAGTTCAGATGCAGCCTTTTCACCTTGCCATTCTCCTACAATGTCTAATGGCCAAATACTTTAATAGGATGCTTTCCTACCTTTCTTAGAAGTTTCCTCATCTTTTTCTGAGAAATGTGGGAATTGGGTACAGAAAAAATATCCAAATTATTTCAAAATCTTTTGAAGAATATACAAATATCATTATGTATACCTCTCTTGGGCTTTTCATTTGCAGAGCTGATGGAAAATAACCTTTTTAGATCCAGTGCAGTTCAAAATATTTGCACAGAGCCAGAAGGAACCCAATAAGCATTTAATTTTTTTTTTTTTTACCCTGGACTTAAAAACAAGTAAGATACCATTTATGTGGAAACCATCATTAACTCCAGGAAATCTCAAGCCCTCAGATTTTATACTGCTTCACCCATTTGAAAAGTAAAATGCATCATTTCAAGCATATGTAATGTCTGTGACATCTGTACCGAGATGGCATCTCATTGCAAAGGGGAACTCCACCGTATTTTATTTCTTCTTTCCAGAGTTCCGTATTTGCAAGAATCACTTGAGTTCAGCTACAGCAATATGCAGTGTCAGTCCAACTTGCCACCCAAGAAGTGAGAATGTTAATAAGGAAACACAGCCTAGGAAAATGCAGTCATTTCACTTCGCAGATGTTTACAGTCCTGGTTTCACACAGTGCTTAGTTTAACTTTGCAGATCTAGATTAGAAATAGCCTAAAACCTAAAAGAAACATTTCAACAAAACAATGCAAAGATCTCTTTTCCTCCCTCCTGCCTTCCTCAAAGAGGCCACACCAAAACGCATGTCACTCCTGATATACTGAGCCTTCCAGTAACTGTGGTGTTTGTTATGAGCCCCAAGATACTGCACGACTCAGGCTGCTGCCCAGGCCCATCAGAAACAAGCCGAAAGGCCATGACAGCAACTCAGCCCAGGACCTCTTACCTTTCCCAGAGAGCTGCCGCGGCTGGGTCCCAATGCAAATGCTCCTGCTGTCTTCGTCATCCTCTGGGGGCCGGCTGAGATCATCCCAGGCACATTTGGCACTCACTCCACTCAGGTTTGAGCCATCTGTCTCAATCCCTTTGTCAACTCTCTCCTGCTTGAAAAGATCCAAAACCCCCAAGACTTTTTTGGGTGTGGCTTGAACCTGAGCTGGAACCCACCCTGGCTCAACCCAGCCTTTTGCAGCTCCTGCATATACCTCCTTCACAGAAAGTTTCCACTCTCTGTCCCCTGTGCTTTGATGTATCAGCTAACAGTGACTGCACATTGAGACAAATCAGGGAGCTGGTCTAAACTGGAACAAACCTTTTCCATAGCAGATTGGTCTGAACTCCTACCCCTTTCCCCACTGCTTCACTATGTTGCCCTGGCAGGCACAAAGCAGGGAAAGAGAGAAGTGGAAATCAATAACCTGGGGTATGCAGGGTTGCTTCTTCCAGTGTTAGTTTGGGTTTACATCAACTCAAAGTATTTATGACACTACGTACTCCTGTACAAAGCACAGCCTGATAGTCTACGTATTATAGGTCAATGATAACAAACCCCTGAATAACTGAACTGAAGTTCTCTTACCAAGGAGTCCCACAATGAAAACAGCTTACAGAGAGACTCATCGTTCACAAAAGTTCGTCATTTACAAACTGCCCAGACAACCATTGCTTTTTAACGTGCTGTGATGTTCAGTAGGGACAAGCGTGCAAAGAGACACAGGTCTGTTCACAATGTCAAAAATTTTACACAGCCTTCTCTATTGGCAAAATACACAACAACAAGATTCACAAAAGAAAGGAATTTTATGCTGGGTAAACTTTAGCCTCAAGGTCACATTTGAAAATAAACCTCAAATGATGCAGTTCAGATGCATCCTTTTCACTTTTCCATTCTCCTATAATGTCTAATGTCCCTTGCAAGTTGGACCTTCCAAGCATGTAACCACCGTTTGGGTCTTGGAAGGTGTCACACACCAACCACATGCAGCTGGATGCTCTCAGACACCATGCATTCTCTCAAGGACATGTGCATCTGCTGCCAGCAAGACTGCCCTAAACTATAGCCAGAACTTCCACAGGAGACCTACCTACCTGCTAGAGGAAATGGCATTAGTCTGAATTTTCACCTATATCCCACAAGGGGGTAATGTTGAGCTGAACAAACTCAGAGCTGAGCTACTCAGAGGAATGGCTGCTCTTACCACTGTCACCTCTCCTCTGGCACTGAATCAACCCGGCTCATTTTCCCCTCTTCTGAAGGGTTGTCACTTCTGGTACCACTCAGTGGCATCAGCAAGATCTCCATCTCACTGCATACATCTGGGTCACCTCAAAATAGGTGGTAAGTCCCACTGCTTCCAGGACAAGAAACTAAAGATTTGAGAAAATAGCAGAGCCACGTTACACACAATGGGAGCGGATCTCTCTGCTCATTATTATCACCCTCCAGTTTGACCTTGCCACTGGAGTCAAGAGACCGTGGGAGCATCCAGCGCTTTGCAAAATCTATTCCTTAAGAAGCAGTTTCCAGACTAAAGCCCACATATGTTCCTCCCCTTGCCCAGCTGCACATGCTGTGCCTGAGAAAGAGCATTGCCTGTTCTTGTGACCATTCAAGAGAGGATTTGAGCAGCTCAAAGATAAGCACAGGCATCCAGGGTGTGGTTGCACAGCAGTTTAATCTGATGTAATTCGCAGTGGCTGCAGTCCCACCCTCCTCCATGTGCTCCTACCCCTTCCCTTGAGCCAGCTCCTTTTTTTTTTCAGCTGAATCACCTCCCTAAACTGGCTCTTTGGCCCAAGAGCAGAGGCAGAAGCCTGTGGCTGGAGGCAGGACCAGAGCAGTCCTGACTTAGATTTAAGCATTCAAGTGACTGCCTTCCTTCTGCCGCTCTCCCCGAAAGACTACTCATTGGGATCTTCCTCTGGCGTCAGGGGAAACTGGCTTCTATGAAAACGTAATGGGAAAATCTGAGAAATAATAAATCTGCTGGGATTTTCTTTTGTTATAGCCTAAACATAAAATTGTTTCACCCAGAAATAGAAGTTGTGGAAGAAGAAATAAAAATACATCTGATCCTGCATACGCAAACAATGCTCTAAGTGAGATTTAGCACGTGGCTCCTTTGGGACTCTCTGTGGCACTCTGTGAGGACCCAAATCAGCTGGCACAGGGAGGTTTAACTTGTCAGCATGGTTATTTTTCATTTCAGTAATTGAGGAAGCATGGGAGAGCCACCAAACTTGCCCTTGAGTAAGGAACAGAAGAGCCCAGAGGACCCTGAGGACTCCATTGGGAAGAGGCTCTGGTGGGATGTGCTTCTCCATCCCCGCGGCCAGGGCCCCTGCTCACAGAGTCAGGGTGTCTGAACAGTGTGCAGAGCCTCAGGGAGGGGGAAAGGGACACGTCATCTCCTTCTAAGCCGGTTTGCAAAGCACTTCCTCAGGGGAAGAAGTGCTGCTCTGTTGGCATCTCTTGGAGATCAAGGGGGGCTGATGGAAACGACCTGGCCTAAGACAGCCTAATTTGCATGCCTGTTTTGTAACATTTGCGAGTATTGATGTTGAAAGGGGAAAAAAAAAAAAAACAAAACACAAAACTCTAACCAGTGCAGACTCTCAGCTGGAGCAATGCACAGCTTTACCCCATTTTTAGACAGCAAAAATGTGCCTGGGCTGAGGGGCTGTTCTTCCTCTCTTGAAAGGGCAGCCTGAGCAGGAGGTTGGAGGAGCCCAGGGCAAAGGAGGTTCAGCTTTTTCCTTCCTCAAAGAAAGGATGTTTCTGTCCCATTTTCCTCTCAGCATGTGGGAGGGATGCTCTGAGGCTCTTATAAGTCATTGATCCCTTTCTAAACGAGCCAGAGCACTGCAGCGTGACCCGCAGAGCGTCAACCACAACTCAGGAAATTCAAATCAGCTTTATTCTTTTTTGAGATATCTGCTAAAACAGAAGCAAAGCGCCGAGAATCAGCACAGAGCTGGGGACCGACATGGACTGTTTGACAGTGCTGCCAGAGAAATCTGAATGGCCTACAGGGAAGCCTGGCTGAAAACAGCCAGCATTGCCACAGTGTTAATTGCTGACATCCTGGGATGACATCTTAGTTGGGATCCATTCTCAGCGACTCTGAACAGAAAGTACAGCTGCTCCTGCCAGGGCTGGGTTTAGGCCTCAACCAATTCCCACAAGAAACAATGCAGCCTCAAAACAAGCTCTGCCTGCTTCCCAGGCAGTCAACATTGCCTTCTCCCAGGAAAGTTGTCCAGTTTGCTCTGCCTGCTCCCTCCCTCCCCTCCACCTATCTTCCACTGCTGCCTTTCAGCTCTCACACACCCTGTACCACCACTGAGAAAATGCCACGCGAATGACACTTTATCCTTTCCCCAACTAACTAGAGCAGGAGGTGTATGACATAGCTGAACCCAGCCTGGCACAGCCCAGCATCCTGCGCTCAGCAAAGGCTCTTTGCGGGACTCAGCACCACAGCAGCAGGTTTTGCCCTGTGAATCCCCAGGGGCTGCGGCTGCAGAGCAGGAAGGAGGTACACACATACACACACACACACACCTGCACATATAGACTTCTGCAAGGGCAAGAGAGAACAGAAACAGGAATGTCTTCAATGTGAGGAAGTCCGGAAAGACCACAGACATAGCAGCTTTCAGTGGCAGGACACACTGGTGAGGCAGAGGTACTCTATTTGCCTTGACTTGCCTTGGCTGACTCAGATTCCAGTAAGCTGAGCTACTTTTCATTTACAGTAAATTGAAGAAAACCCTGTTATCATCAGGAATCACCAGTGTGCAGGGAACAGAAACACCCTCCAGGAGAGGAGAGGGCAAAATTTTAAAGAGTCTAAAAACTTTACAAGACTTGCAGTTGTATTAGTTCCCACATTGTGGAACATTTTTGTGTGTATGTGTGTGTCTCAGACTGGGGTTATTTTAGATGAACAAATCCTTAAAAACAGTAAAAGTAGAATTTGGTTTTGTTCTTAAGCTTTCAAAATAAAAGATGCTGTGAGGCAACTGAGGGTAATCAGATGCAGACATGCAGACCATAAGTAAACGCAACAGCTTGTACAAAACGTGCACATATGCACGTGCCCTACCAGGCTAAGCCATAAGTTCTCTGTTAAAGGCAAATACTCAGTGATTCACTGAAACAAGGTCAGCACCACACCGGATTTGCCTGGGACCCATGTACTCCAGTACCGTGACTCTGCTGAAGGGATGCAGAACTGTCTCCCAAATGCATGGATCAGCAGTAGCCCATGGGATGGCAACCCCTCCACAGAGGTCCTATTCTGATCTGTAAACATTGTAAGTTAACTTGAATTCTGCAGAAGGTTTAATATATCTTCCTGCATGGATTATTAATAACTGCATGAGATACTTTTGGCTTCCCATTATTTCTTCAGATCACACTAACTACTTGGCTTCAAATGACACCCTACTGGAATGAGGTACACTGTCACATTTGCTGTGAAAAAAATATTACTTAGTTGGTTTTGAGCTTTCTGCATGTTATATCTCCTTATGCTTGTACCTAAAACAAGAGAGGAATTTCCTGATCTACCATCTCTAAATCTTATATTGTTCTATTTTTTTATCTTCTTCTATTTTCCTCCTTTCTAAAAGATGTAGTCCAGATCTTAACCAATTTGTCTCATATATGAGATTCTGTTTTCCTGGTCTCCCTTCTCTAACTTTCTTCCTAGAGCTGCCATCTACCTGTGGCTGGACATGTGCACTCTTGAACCACCTCTGACAAGCAAAGGGAATCTCTAAGACTTTTCCAGGATTATTGCAAACACTGAGAAGATCACAGCACCTTTACAGAAAATAGTAGACCTGGTTTATACCACTAAGCCAATTCTCCCTGGCTACTAGAAAAGACATGACATTTTATAAACTAAAGACATACTTGCAGATGTGGGTCAATCTCAAATATTGTCTCTCCTCTTCGCATATCTGTTATCAACCAGGGGCCTCCAGCTCTACAAAGAAAGAAAGAAAGGTAATGAACCAAACAAGCACTTTAGCCAGTACTCCCCAACTGAGTCCTCAGAGTGGACTTGTACTGGAAGGAAGCACAAGACAGTTTAAAACAAGCCTAGAAGCCCCTCTATGTTGCGTACACATCCCAGAGCATGCATTTGTCCTTTGCATTTCCCAAATACATAATGAAAGCCCTCCATGACCTAGCTGTTATTTGCCTAGTGTCTGGCACTGCCAAGTCTTACAAAGCACTCAGGACTGACACAGGCTATCCCCTACACTTAGATTAAGACTGAACTGGGTTTTAATCTTACAGGTAACTGAATTGGGACCGAGAAGGCCAGTGTAGCCTAGGTCTAAGAAAGATAGGCAAGGCATGGGGTTGAGATTTATACCTCTATTACATATCTAAAGATGCAGCAGGGTTCCAATGGGCTGCGCTTTTTGCTGAGATAGGCAGTCATGTTCAGTACCATAAAAAGCTTATTGCTCTGATAAATATCCTCACAATAGACATTTTGCCCAGTTGGTACTTAATGGCCAAGTACTCAGATGGTTCAGGGAAATCTTTGTTTCCATTAGCAATAAAAGTCGGAAGGGTCAAGATGTTTCCCAACAAGAGTGATAGAAAACAGATTACTGTAAAGATGAACTACTTGGGAGACTTTACTTTGGGTCACAGGGCAGGCAGACTGCATATGTCAGCCTTAGATGGTGCTTTTCATTTGAAGTAAAAACTGAAGTCTTTTGGAATTGCCATAAAATTTTTCTTTTTTTTTCATGAGATACTTTGTTTTATTGCAGTCAAAAGCCCCCTCCTCTGGCCTTGTCCATGTTATAGTCTCCTAAAGCACTTGGAGTGGGAGCAATAGAAGTTAATATTTCATAATTTTTCAGATGCATTGTTAGCCACTTTTTTTTCACATCACTTTGGAAGCTGTTAGTTACTAACTTTAGAGGTGTGAACTGCTTTGGTTCCTCAGTGGGATGCAAGAGACTTTTACCCTAACTCCACACCAGCAGCTTAGTAGTCTGCAGCTTTTCCTTTGAATCATGCACATTTGGGTTTCATTTTATCCTTGGAAAGGTGCTTGTACCACAGCACAAAAGCCAAAATCCAACATGAGAACAGACTGAGGAAAGGGGTGCTGTATCTGTATTGACTTAGAGGAGCCAAGGGAGCTGCAGGCTCCAGTGTTTATTGTCTTGGGGTCCCAGAAACAAGCCTGCAGCTGTACAAATTCACTCCACTCTAGGGCATTCTCATGAATTATCTGCATTTGTGCCTAAAAGGGAAAAGTTCAACTTTAAGAAGACCAGCAGCAAAGGTTCTTCCAAATAATCAAAGGCCATTATGACACTAGAGAGCATATTATTGTGCCCAGAATACATGTTCAGTATCATTTTGTTTAAAAAAAAAAAAAAAAATCTTTTGACCTATAATCACGTGGCAATATATTCCACTAAGTATGAGAAAAGTATTTAAAAAACCCACCTAAAATCCCCAAAAGTTTAGCTGCAACCTGGCAGCAAATAAAGCATCAACTTACCATTTAACATTTAAAACCCATTTCCTCCTTAACCTAACAACATCTTTGCTTTGCCACGGGAAAAATAACAATAAATTTCACTTGCATGAACACTCTTTCAGTTGCAAATTGGCCCACCAAGAGTGGGACCAGTTTGAGAGTGACTTTTTAACTTTCAGACAGTACCCAAGCTTTGCTAGGCACTCTAAGTCAGACCCTCTCTTCCTTTCTTTTGAACTACACAGGGAGGTCACCAGTAACAGTTATCCCAGCTCTCTCAGGAAGACCAATGAGAAAATGCTGCAGGCGTAAGAGGAAGGAAATTAAGCTTTCAAGACCTCATTCTGTTTCACCCTGAACATGTGGACTTCCACATGCATTAATTTGCCTCTAAGTGTCTGTGTGTGAGAACAGATTTTCAATGAATTCCCGTCTCTTGCTACAGCACAGGATTAAATAAGTTCCATCAACAAGTTGAGGTTTGTTAATAAAAATAAACAACTGCATTGTCCTCTATGGGAATGCTCCCCTACATGGACTATATGAGCACTTACACCGGCACAGTCCGAAGTAGTTCCAAGATCCCTTGTCCATTCCACTGCTGAGCCGCATGTAGTTCCTCAGTGCAAACCCCAACAATCTGGAATAAACAAAAAAACAGATACTAAACTGGATGGGAACTGTGCAAGAACTGTAGAGAAAATGTATCACATGGTGCTGGATCAAACAGTGCAGACACAGAGAAGCACCATTTCTTTAAACTAACTAGATGAGCGAGGACAAATGGAGCCTGAGACAACAGAGGGATTTTGCAATTCCTTATGCCCTCTATTTACATGTGCTGTGTGAAGTGCCCTGGTCATGACAAATTTAATCTTGCATCGTCTGTGTGAACTTAACTATGAGTAGGGCCTGGTGACAAATCAGGGTTTACTGAAGATCCACTAGTCTGTTCTCACTTTGCAATCTAGTCCACACAAGACAGGACAGGTTAGGGTCTGAGCACATGCAAAACGTTGCTCTGTCAGCCAATTGCTAGGGGCAAATGCAATACTGCACCAGCAATTTCAATCAGGCAAGGGACTCGCTGCCACAAGGGAGTGCTTTGGTGCTCATAAATCCTTGACCAACTCAGTTTGCTGATTGATCACATCTTGCCCAGCACCATAAAGTAAAGCTGCTTACACATAGCATAATCCACTCGTCACTGCAGGCAAATGCAGACTTCTGCCTTCCTGTATAAGGCAAAATGCATTTGTTTTTCAGGATAGGAGCTGCCATGCTGAGCAATACCAGATGTCTCTCGCAGCAGCTGAGATCAGCCGCTTCAAACGGAGGGGTGAAACACCCTTCAGCTGATAGAGGAAGGCAGTTTCTTCCTGATCCATCTACCGCTGGCTCACGCCTTTGAGCACAATGATTCACTCTTTGGGATGAAAAATTATTTTAGCCATGGCCACCTGTTTTCTTCCTCAATACTCTAAGCCTTTTCCAATGACACTGAATTTTTTGTCAAAATCTGTTCAACTGATGTTTTATCAGTAGAGATGAAAACTGAAAACTAAGTTCTGAAGAGCAGAAAGCAGAAGTGCATGATGTGCCTATCTGCACTGAGAGATAACTGTGTGGAAAACACACCAACGTCAGCATGTCCCCAGTTCTGCACACCCTACCTCCCCTGCCTCTCACGGAGCTCACTTTCTCAGGACCCAGCCCTTGGAGATGCACTTCATCCCCACCCAGGCTTCCTCCATGAACAGCCTGAATCATCCTTGCTTCAGGACATCCCTCCCTGTGCCTTCACTCGCTAATTGCATACAAACAGCAAGACTCTAAACAGGAAATTATTTTGTGTTCATTCTTCTCTTTTTGTAATCATTTATCCCATGGGTCAAAATAAATTCACAACAACAAGCATCGAACAATGGGGAAAACCAAGTCAAACGTATGCATTGTGGAAGATTTGAGGCCAAGAGCCTCAGGATGAAACAAGCTGACTGTCCTTTGATCCAATCCAGGATAGCTGGTCACTAGAGAGATGCGAACTAATGCAGCACTAACTGGAGAGTCAGCCAGGAATCACCCTGCTTAGCTTGGTGCTCTGTCTCTGATTCAAGGTCCCACAACTAACCTTTCACTGATTAACCCCACACCTGTCTCTTTCTTGTTGATAAAATGCAGACCTTTGGGTACCTCAGAAAATGCAGGAAAGCCTTTGCCCTTGCATAGCAATTGCCTTGTGCAGGTCTGTGGAAATGGAGCTTCCCCTTACATGTTGAAACTACAGCCAAGGACAAACAGGAGCAACTTGAAGCTTAAAATGTAAAATACAGATGCTTGCGTTTTCCCAAAGGATGGAACCTTTTCCATGGAGCAGAGAGAAATCAGCAGTTGGCATAAACTATGCCAGCTCTTCCACTAAGGTTAGTAACTCCATATGCAATTTAAAGATATCCAAAGCAGCCCATGTTTAAGAGACAGCACTGAAAAGAAGGACTTCGGGAAAGCAAGCAAACCTGTTTGGCCAAGGAAGCTCCTCTCACTGAACAGTAGGGTTAAATCGCAAGGGATTTAAAAAAGGTTTCTTCTTCAAAGCAAACATGAACCTTTCTTAAACAGTAGATCAGTACAGGAAAACTCACTTAGCCCCTGAAGAATCTTTGTGTCAATGCTGCAAGCTACATTTGTAACATTAAATAATGCTAAAGCAACTCTCAAGTCCTGCCTCAAACTCTTCTTTTTGTGGAACACAAACCAGTGGATCGCTTACCAACGCTGCCACAGAATTAAACTGAATTTAGCTCTACATTACCTTTTAAAAGTATTTATCTCAGCTCTTCTCCCTATGTTCATCTTTGAAATTTCAGAGTAGTAATGTAATATTCAATTCCAGGTCTGTTTCAGGGTGTAAACCTCCTCTCTATCAGATAGACCTCCATCCTGAGAACTGAGTGTGTCATTGCTTAATCCTAGTAAAATGCTTACTAAATACCTCCAGAGTAACAACTCAAAGATGAGATCCACAGTAATCAAATAAAAAGGAAAGGTGGAAGACAGGATAAGCATTTGACTTATCAAAGCTAAATGAAATGTAATAGCTGCATTCCATGCCCAGGAGATGACAGAGCCACCATTGCTGGGTCATACCTGTAAGAAAGTGACAACCCCAAAAGGAGTCTGAACTGGCTGCATCTGAGGGTCTTCTGTCAGTAACATATGCTGGATTCTAGATTCACTGTTGTCCAAAGGGCTGTGCCACGATACATGGTCACCGCTGCAGAAGGTGTTTTCTGCAAGGAAGAGATGCAAGAAATATTTAGTCCATAAAATCTGCTAGATTATTCCTTCTGTTAGCATCCGATCCTGACCGCTGTCAGGCAGGGACCTCTGGTCTGGACCAGGACAGTCGCTGGTGGCTATTCACAGTGACTACCTCCAGCCAGCTCTGCTGAGTCTCTGAGTCAGCTGAAGCAGAAAAGGAGTCCCACTGAGCCATCTGAATTCAAGCACCGACTTGAAAATTGCCCACTCTTGAGTCCTGTGACAAAAAACTGTGTCCTGCTTTTATATTAATCCCAACACAGGAATACTAACAAATAAAATTAGCTCGTGTCTCATTTACTATTGGTCTCATTTTGTGAGAAAGTCAGCAGTCCGTACTGGATGCCTATGGGACGGTGATTCATACTTAATTTTCAGCTCTGATTTGCCACATAGAAAAGGTTTTGAAATGTGAATTAAACACAAATAATACTCTGCTATATCTAATAAAAATCCACAGGCTGCTGCCTAACTTGTAATGGTCTAAGTCAAAGTCACTTTCTCTCTCAATTGTCTGGTGGCTCTGGTGCAGAATTATAATTAATATGTTCCTTCTTTCCCAAACAATGAGAAAACCAGTAGGCTATAAATTTCCCTCTATGTCAGAACAGACTGCATCAAAACAAAGAACCAGAAATTATCCTTCTTTCTTCAAAAGACTGTAAGCATTCCTTTCTTTTCCTCCTCTCCTACTTAGAAAGACAAAACCCCCAGATAATCCCATGTTCCACAGCTGGTGCATGCCAGAAGGCACACCAGAACCCATCCGTATGTCACTGTCCCATCACAGGAAAAGCTAATGCTTGCTTTCTGAGTGAACTAGAAGTAAAACAACCAACCATGACCATTTTCACACCAATTAAAGCATGCTCCTGTACACAGTTCCTAGAGCATGTGTGCAACAATGCTGCCTAGCCAACTACCTTGTCCTTGGGTCTTGTGCTTATCCCACTCTGGGTAGAGATTTTATAGCACATACAAATAAACAGCCTGGAATCCATATCCTGCCCTCTGAAATAGGTGCAGTGCTCCAGGGATGAACGGAGCACTGCCTGACTGCTTCCAAGGACAGTGGCAAGCACAGCATCCCTCTCCCTGACCAAGCTCATAGATGCAGGCAGTCTGGGCTATTGCCCTCACCATGGTCTCTCCAAGGCCACACTTACAGAGGAGTGGGAAGGGAGGCCTTGCTCACTGGAGGAGGACTAGGACTTCCACTGCAGACTGAAAAATGTTAGTGGTTACTTCAGTTGCTGTCTGTTGAGATTGAGGCACCTCATATGAAAGAGAACAAGATCCAGTTCAGAGGAGTGTTCTCTGCCCTGCAGCTACGAGCAAACGCGATCCTAGATCTTGAACTAACCTTCCCATATGACCTTCCAAATACGTGTCAGTAGGACCTTTCTTAAATAACTATCTATAAGGCTTACCTGAGAATCCTTGGACACGGCAGCAGCTGCAGCAGCAAGCGAGAAACAGCATTTGCTAGTAATTACAGCTTTTTCCCCAGTCACATTAAATAACAGGCACCAAGGAATTGAGTGCTTGCACACCACTCACTGTGTATCAGCACCACTACAGCTGCGCGCACAGACTCTTGGCCAGGAGCAAGTGCAGGATGCTTCGAGGGAGCCTTCAGCGGCAGGCAGGTAAACTAACGAGAGTTACCTCGCAGTTACTGTAGTTAAAAATACTCTCAGTCATCTCACTGATGAGCTAACTCACACTCACCCATTCACGGGTTTCATGCAGGGCGTCCTCGGCAACTCATAGTTTCTCCACCAGGTGTCCCCATTGGTGTGTATTTGAACATTCATTATATATGTTTTTTCAGATTAATTTCTTGGATAGCTCTTTTGATTAAGAATTAAAATAAACTCCAAATACCATAAGGAACTTGGCCCGAAAAACAAGGCATGTAACAGAAGTGTTGTGATAAGTAAGGGAATGTTTTCCTTAGTTAAAATTAGGAAAGAAAGAAAACAGCGGATGCAAGCTGCTTGAAAGAAAGAGTTTATCGTTATGTACACTAAATTACATGCTTTCAGCTCTGCGACTGAAGGGAGTGGTTCCGATATTACTTTACTTTTAGCGTTGGGAAAAGATAAGCAGACAGAAATGGAAAACTTTTTTTTTTTTAGTATCAAAATTGGATTAAAGAAAGAGCACTTAGAATTTTGCAAAAGATCTTGTGATATTTTCCAGGTTAGACAAAATGTGGCTGATTATTTATTTTTTTAAATGATAAAAGCCTCTCAGTCACAGTTTTCAGGAATGAAACAAAGCCACAAAGAGCTTATTCTTGGGTCCTGTCTTTATACCACAACATTTTGCCCATCAAATGCTCACACAATTCTATGCTGATCGATCGCTGTGTCTCACTGCTGGTGCTGCTTCTCCTGGGAAAGCCCAGCCCGTTTAGAGCAGGTTTTCAAATGCAAATGTCTCTGCTGGAAACCCACCTGTTTATGTCCATGTGAACACTGAACACTTAGAAAATCTCCCTCTCCCTCGCATGCACATGAACACCACAAAATTCACACTGACTGCTCAATTAAATCAGAAAAAAAAAATTCTGCAAATAACATTAAGCCAAATTAAAACCTGTAAGAGTGCAAGAAACTAAATCACAGCCTGAAACTCGGCTCTTTGCTTGCTGCATTGTAACCCATATGGAATACAAGATCAGTCCTTGTACAGAGACCATTACAGCACTGAGGACAGCTTGAACTGTAGGACTTCTAGCCACAGAAACTAAGAAATTACAGAAACAAAAGACTAGATAACCACTTTCTCTTGCCTCATGCTGGAAACAGATGAGCATCCTCCCTTGTGACCTTTCACACTCATGTTTTCAAAACAAGACAATCAAAATCTTGCTATGCATTTGTTTTAAACAATGTTTTATCCAGAAAAACTTAAAGTTTTCATAAATGACTCATTCAAAGTAAATTTATAACTAAATTTATGGCTCTCACAAATGTTGAGCTAGAACATAAAACATCCAGATAAATCCTCAGTCATCACAGCACAGATGGATGTGAAAAATCTCCTGTGGTTTTTGCACCTTTCTGTAATTTGCAGTGCTGTCAGTAACACGCTTTGTACAACCTGCCTTTCATCCACAAACATGTACCATGTGCTCATATTTCATAAATGTACATACATATTTCCATAGAAGCATGAGATGAGTTGGCAGAGGACACATGCACTCGGCAACACGCTTCAATCAGACATGACTAAAGACAGCTCCTTTTGTTCCCAAAAATGCATCCCTGTATCTCCCATACCACGTGGACTAACTGGAGAAGTAGCTTGTCATCTCCAAACTAATTTGAGATCTCTGTTTTGCACTGCTATGAACCAAGGATGAGACTAGGACCTCCGGTGATAATGATGCCAATATGGTTGTCTCAACAGCATACAGTTTTATAGCCATAGCTCTCAGTGTACATTTTGATGCCTACTGCAGATATCAAATGAGACACCTACACTAACAACTGTAAGCCACTTCTATATAAAATACTTCAAAATACAGACATGAAAATAAGTATTAATAAACAGGTAAAAGAAATGTTGTATGTAAAATAAAAGATCACAGGAAGAGGTTTATGTCCATGGAGCACTGACCCAAGTCTGATGCTACAAGCATCCCAAAACAATTTCTAGTTTTAGGCCAAAACATGACTCCCCTTTCAGATAAGCACAGAACATTCCTTTGCAAATTATCTCAGTTTAGTAAAGCTGAAAGTTTACAGCCTCAGCAACAAAGCTGGTTCTGCAAGGATCACATCACAACACTGATGCTGTCCTGGGCCCTCCTAGATTCTGGAACAGCCTCACCCATTAAGGGCAACTATTGATCCAACACTTTTCACTCTCAACCAGCTCTGCTACCACAACCTTTCTGACCTGCTACAACGCTGTGCAGATTAGCACCTGTGGCCAAGTTTCTTACTGGTTTTGAGGAGGGACTGAAGCACAACAGATGTTACAAAAGTCCTTCTGCACTATATTGCTTAATAAGACAAAATGCATTTGCATTCAGAATCCAGGAAAAGGCGAGATGGCTTTCAGTGGTAGCTGTGAAAAATCATGGGTTTCTACTTGACAAGCACTTTCTCTACCATTACAAGAGGGCAACAATCAGTTTGGGAGCAGCAAATGCCAGGACTCAGGCATCGTGAGATTTCTGCCTCTTTGAACTTCTGTGTTACCTGACTCCACAGCAAAGCCAAGAGATGTGACACATCCAGAGAAATAATTTTATATAATGGGAGGAACCTGACATATTCTTATAATAAATAGCAAGGCCTCAAACCAGTTGGCATGTTGCCATGCTCAGAATTAAACTTGTAGAAGACTTCTATGAAGGGGTGGAACTATGGACACTTTCTTCTCTGTGGTTGTGCACACTGTGGATGGATTCATCCTCACCTAAGGAGGAAGCTCTGACTAAAGCTCTTACTGCAGCTATGGCATGCATAGGAGGACCCTATCTAGGTTCACTTATGTTTAAGGTCAAGCATAACACATCTTCACTCTTCTCCAGTGCAGGGGACACAGTTAGCATTCTCACTTGCTCATTTTTACAATCCTTTAAAAACCAAGTCTCTCCAAGAGTCCTACCACTCTTTTAGGTCTGTTTGACATTGGCCAACAGGTTCAAACACCATTAAGGTAGCACGGTCAGTCTTCTAGACATGCGAACAGCATGACTGCATAAGCCTTGTTTCCTTAGGCGAGCACTGCAAAAACAACAGTCATGGGAAAAAGCTACCAGGACCTCACCACAGAATTGCCAATAGGACATATGCTGAGGCACAGAAACAATCTAGCCATCAACATGAGGAATTAAATAGCAAAGGAACTGAAAGGAAATATGATAAAAAATGAAATCCAAATTACTTTAGTGTATGGACAAATGGCAAATCCTCAGGAGGAAACTGAGGCTCTGATTTACGGCGTA